TCTTCACTCGGTAATATGGAAATATCATGGCGTCGTAATCCGAAATTGTTTTGCACACGAATTTGTAACTGATAACCGTTATCTTGCTTTTGAAACTGATATGTTTTATTTCCTGACGAAAAACAACTGATTGAGCCATCGTCACTGCAGCTAAAAGGTAGTGCATTCGGAAACGTTGTTCTGTAAACCGCACTGAATTGAACGCTTTGGCTAATCAGAGACTCCAACTCAATGAACATATTCCAGCTCATTATTTTAACACTCCCAGCCAAAGGTGAAGTTGAATCCACACTAGAGTCATAATGAATCAACGTCGTCTCACAGGGACCTTCAAAGATTCGTAGCCTGAAATGGTTCCGATCCTCGGCAGAATTCAGTTTCGAACTAATGTTCCACCACAATTGAATCTGTCCTCCCACGGACACAGAGAGTTGCCACTGATAGATAACGTGCTTTGGGCACATAGTGGTCACAGTTGAGGACAGCGTTGATAACTGACCATCATCTCTGGTTAGAAAGTTTGGATTTTTGGAATAGCACTTAATAAAACTGACGGCTTCAAATCCTATTCTAAAACCTTTGTCAGTGATGTATTGGTCACTGTAGAATTCGAGACAGATTTGATTACTGTCAATGTCCAAATTGGTTTTGTTTGTAGGTGCTAGATTACCACACAACTTCTCAACAAGATTACCTTCATCACAAGATTTGTTAAAAACTGCTAAAAAGTCAAATATGCACAACTCGCCAGAATACTCGAGAGAAAAATTTATAACTGTTAACCGCACGAAGTGCTGGGTCGGCACCATAATCTGCCAACGGTGACGCACAAATGTCGGGTAATTCAAGCCATGGTTAAACTTCAGCGTTTCTATAAAACCACAGGAGGCGTTTATGAACAACGTTGTTTCATTTTTGGGGACAGCGACTGTTGAACACATTTGTTTCAGCGATGAACATTTCACGAGTTGCCTATGACCAGAAAACCTTGTCCTGTCCGTTTGCACATGGTTCATGTCATTGAAGCACTGACGAATGACTCTTTCTAGCTGTCTATAGCCGATGTTTTGATCTATGCTTAAAGAGACAAACGCAAGCGAAAGAAACGCCATGAAACTTTTGACGAAAACCATGTTTGTGAAACCGCGATGATAATGATCGAGTGCTTTTCAACCCCCGATGTATTTGTACTCCTGTGTGGCATGAATCCTTCAGATTCTACTCAACCACTAATTTGCACTGAACTACAGAATGATTTATATACGCCCGTTACGTTGTTCGCGTCATAAAACACCATCCATGTGGGTTATGTAATAATTGATTATTAATGTGCATTGGAACCAATTAAACCTATAATTTAACGAACTAACCGCACATGCAAAAGGAGACCGAACGCCAAATATAGAAGTAATATAGTTTCCACGGCGTTCTATCAAATCGATGCCTTTGACATCGGTAGTCTCAACGGACCTTCTTCATCTTCTAATTGAGCAGCATTGGTGATACGTTTCATTAGGGAATTCTGCACGACAATTAGACTAATGCAGGCCTATTCATTGACAAGCTGATGAACCTTGCTTTCATCTAGGCCCTAACTTTCCTGCAGTGTGAGAGTACTGCTTTGAACGAAATTTGTGCTATAATAGACGAAACATATATTTTGCAGGAAAAATAATTTTAATGGTTATAATGGATTTGTTACAAGTTTCAGTCCGTTTAACTTTGTGACTATATCCATTATCATTTTATTGAGTTAAAATTGCTACCGAATGGGTAATATTATGAAATCGATGAAAATATCATTAGTTTTATTTTTGCGATAATAATTATTAAGCACACAACGTACGTCTCTGTCTATCCGGCTGTCTGAGTTGATACAGCTAAAGCAAACGTAAAGCTTGAAAAGAAACTGTCCAATATTCACGACTGGTACATATAATGCACTTCTAACCGATACACTTATTGGCATCTTATCAGTATAAAAAGAAAATAAGTGACAAAATGGGATTTCTTTAAAATTTAACAAATAATATATGCAAGTTTGAATTCTAGTTAGAGACATGTTAGATGTACATATGTTTATACAATGACCAGTTGATTTATGTACAAATAAATTCGACATGACTATACAGTATATGCTTAAGTTACATTTTATACACCTAAGGAATGTTCGAGTATCGATTTCAATGAGTATCCTCCTTAGTCCTACTGGCGAATAGGAAAATGGCCGCACACAAAACGTCACTGTAAACATATATTTTTGACTTTTTGTGCCAAATGTAGCTTAAGGATTTTTCTGTATCTGTTCCTGTTTTTTCATAGGTTGACATTCATTTTTGAACATATAAAATTTTTAAAATGTGCGATGGCCTGTAATTTGTAGATTTTCCAACAAGCTGTATATTCACTGTACCGGGTAGCTATCATTTATTCGATCGAGTGATGGCAGTGGCGTTCTGGTCTCACAGTTTCAGTTAAATATTTTAAACTCTGCTTCTTATGTAATTTCTCCGTGTTTAAGTGTGAAAAAGATGAAGTGGTTAACAAAATGACATTGTCATCCGTCCTGCATACACGTATGTGCATATGGTGGAGTACTCGCGCAGTACATGTACTTGTTTGCAGGGGGGGGGGGTCTAGTAGTTGGGAAAGATACAGCATTGTAAACTTACCATAGGCATGTTTTAAAAGGTATGAATCTTAAATTTTGCTTTTAAACATGTTTACTTTCTTGCCGGGGAGGGGGGGGGGTGCAAATGTATCGTGTTAATTTTTTGAGAAAAAAAAAAACGTGTAAAACCAAAATAAGTTTTTTTTCTAGGCTTGAATAGCATGAATGGGACCAGGATTATTCCTTTTGCCGTGCCTTGACCTGCAATTATCATAACAAAAGCATCCATCATTTCCAAATGCTGTGTTGCAATGAACACCACAACCTCCTCCATACTTCTAAAGGATGAAAAAATATATTGTTGAGCTGTGCTGTTGCTAATATTAATAGTTATTGGTTATCAGTATACAGAAATGCAGTATGTGAAATCATTTTAGGTTTTAACCATGTAGTAAGTTAAAAGTGTTAGGTATATGCAACTAAACAATACATTGTTTTATTTCTACTTTGCAAGGTTTTATATATGTGACTTATAGATAAAATCTACTTATTAAAATAAAACATTTTTATTCAAATGCAAACATGGATTGGTACCTGGTATCAGTGAAAGAAAATCTGCTAACTCTGGGAAAATTTATGAAATTATACTATTTGTAGAAATTGAAATGGTCCACTTTATAATTGGGAATTGTGTGTTAGTTGGTTAAATATATAGAAAGGTGTACCAGTCACGTAAGGTAGCATTAAATTATCACCTACTGGGTAATTAATGTACAATGAAATGTAACATAACAATTTTTGCAACATACATGTACCCCCTGGTATATATATTTGCACAGTTTTAATAACTGGTGGGTGTAACAATCTTGACATTTTCTGTTAGTGATACCATGTTTCAGTGTATTCGAAATGTTTTATTGTAGTTGTAGTTGAAATGTAAAAATAAAATAAAATAGAATATATAACTATGTGATTAAATATAAATTGTCTTTCATTTGTTATTTTTCATATTTTAACGAAAGGAGTACCCTCACAAATTGGCCTCGTGTAATAAAAAAGCTTTATTTACAACAAAAAAAAAATTAAAATTCATTTATATAAGCACCATGACAAGTGCCTAGAAAAATTATTTTCATTGTCCCCAATTCTTAGTATAAATTGTCTTTCATTTGTTATTTTTCATATTTTAATGAAATGAATACCCTCATCAGTTGGCCTCATGTAATGAAAAAGCTTTATTTACAATGAAAAATAAAAATTAAAATACATTTATGTTAGCACCATGGTAAGTGCCTAGAAAAATTATTTTCATTGTCCCCAATTCTTAGTATAAATTGTCTTTCATTTGTTATTTTTTCATATTTTAATGAAAGGAATACCCTCACCAGTTGGCCTCATGTAATAAAAAAGCTTTATTTACTATGAAAAAAAATTAAAATTCATTTATATAAGCACCATAAGTGCCAAGAAAAATTGTTTTCATTGTCCCCAATTCTTAGTTGCTCTATATAAATTGTCTTTATTCACAATGAAAAAATTAAAATTCATTTATATTAGCACCATGGTAAATGCCAAGAAAAATTATTTTCATTGTCCCCAATTCTTAGTTGCTCTATAAGTAATACTGTGTTAGGTAAAAACTAAAACAGGGCTAAAGCAAGGCTGATATACAAAAGCGAGGCTAATATACAGATATTGTAAGTTCGAGTTTTCAGGCTTACACAGCCGTGAATTGATTTGTGCCATTCACAGCTTTAGGCAAAGTTCTTTACATGCTTACAATGACAGAAAGCTGAATAAATTCACCACAACTTACTGGTAATTAAAAGTTGTGCGGAGGCCTCTATAGATACAAAGATCAGAGTTAAAGATGAACTTTCAAACTAATTTTTTAACTCCAAATAGGCTCAAGATCAACTTGTGGTGCATTTCACATAATTCAAAATTTATTTCTCAATATGCCAATGTACATAATGTAACCCTACGTTCATAGCCGAGATATTACAGTATACTGTTACACCGTTTCTGACACCCTATAAATCTCCAAATTTTTGGCCGATTCAAAAGTGTAAGACTTCTGGTTTGTCTAAAAACCACCTAGCGGCAGACCGGTGGCTCTTGGGCTGATATCTAGACACATTTCCAATTCTCCATTTACCTTAGTGGGTGTACATTTGTGAAGACTTTGGAGTGGTGGGGTGGGGGTGGGTGTATGAGGTCCTTTGCCAGCTTCCACTGACTAAATGTCACAAAATATGTGGGCATGCAAACAATTGGTTCAACACTAAAAATATGAAATCAAAATTATACCCCCCTCTATGTCATCGATCTCTCAAATTTGTCTTACACTTCAAAAATAATTCAAGTCCTATTTAAAATCACCACTAAGTTAATTACGTTTTAATTTTATTCGCCAGTTATAAGTAGAATACATTTCTGAAACATCCTTATAGTTATGTTGAAAATAATTTCCTCTTCCTTTGTTAGAAAAAAAGTAAATACAATTTCCTTCTTACCACCAAGCACATTAAAATAAGGGAAAACTGAATCTTCTCCATAATGTAACAGCTAAGACTTTCCTTTGCTTTCTTTGCAGCAATCTGCTACAACATCATCTAACATGACACGTTTACAAGGATATGAACTTCCAACCTCATCCATCCCCAGTCAATATCAGTTTTATTCCATGTCTTTCTTTCAGTGTTGAGTATTTGTTTATAGTATCAGTTTTCTAAAAATGACACAAAATCAGTGAGTCTTTCTAGCATTTGTTCACTAGGAACTGAGGTCTCCGACTGTGGTGCTGAAAGAGAAAAATGAATTTGAAATGAAATAAAATCATTAATGCTTGGAGATGACTGAAATATTGCTTTTCAATTTGGGTTCCAACTTCCAAACTTAAAAACTAGAATATATTTTACAATATCTCTTGTAATAGCTTGTATGACCAGTTTTAATGATCCTTGCAATAATAATCATGTAAACTATTATTTTTCAAGCAGGATTATATACAGAAGAAGTATTATGACAATTTTTTCTTGGCTCATTCTCACCTGATCTGACAGGTATGACGAGTCTTGTCTGAGCATCTGCCTTCCAATCCTGAGACACTGCAGCTTAAGGAAAGAGAACAAGATAACATTTCATCAAACATTTTTAGGAGACCCATTTCAAACAGAAATATATGACCTATACCATGCAGATTTGAGAAAAAAGGCCAAGATTCAATGTTATTTACAAGTCAGGAGTGACTGCCTTTTGTCTAATCTATATCAAAAGCTGGGTTATTTGTACATTTCATAAGTTTCTACTTGCCTTCCATCACTCTCCAATTCCAATTATGAGAGAAACAACCAGTCAGTAATCATTTATCTAATATGCTAACAAAATGAGACAGCAAAGTTGACAAATCTAAGGGTTTACATCTAACAAAACAAGTCATTCCTACAAATAATTATCCTTGTTGGAAAACCAAAAGAGTTTCGAGAGATTGCATAGTTATGTGCCACAACTGCAACAGATTTCCTGGCACTTAGTTGCACGGTTGCCTGCTGCTTAAATTTTGTATATATTATAATCAAAATCCCCTTCAAACAAAGTTGACTTAAGTAGTGAGATGTTTTTGAAATGTTTTGTAGATAAGTTCTTTTCTTTTTAAAGGAACTTGCCTTTTCACCATACAAAGCCACTCAGCAAATTTGGAATTATAAAACTAGACATTAAAGATGACACATTAAAGAAATTAAAAAGGTTAATTCAAACAAACAATTAGTCTGATCAAGCTGATTCTCACATGGAACCTTTTTTAAAACATCAAACAAAGCTACTCAGTAATTTTAAAGTAAGAGAAGACAAAAATACAATTTGGCAGTCTTAGATGGCTGAATACTGATGTTTCAATGTCTGTCTAAAAATGCAGGTTGGGTAAATGGGGTAAATGTCACCCAAATATATGCAGAGAAAAGAAAATCTTAATCAATTACTTTTTAAAAATAATCCAATAATGCAGATTTTCATTAAGAAATGCATTTTATTACCAGACAAAGCCATTAAATTTAATGTAAATTAAAAATATGAAAAAATAAAATTTAGCACTTAAAGGTAAAATGACCCAAAAACGACTGACAGACACACATATAGGTTTACATAAACAGGTACCTCTTCTTAAAGGGATAACAACTGTTCATATGATATCCATATTTTATAATAAATATACTGAAAACAACTCATAGAAATATAATATATAAATATAATATATAATATATTCTATTTTACTACCAAAATGGCATTTATCACAATTATTCTGGAATTTGTGCTTGCCATCAGATCATGTGACCTCCATAGATGGCTACACTCCGTAATAATCTCTTAAGAGAATATTACAAAAACCCAAACTTAAAAAAAAACAGGTACTAACTGTGAATGTCAGAATGGATTCATTAATCATTGGCAAGAATGGGAAAATGTCCTTTACCCAAGGAAACCCCATTTTTTTTGTTATCCCCTTAACCACAACCAGATCTCAGACCTCCTATAAGACATCACCCAATCCTAAAACCACAATAATAAGCAGTTTATGCTGATCTATTGGAACTAAAACTAAATTTTTACCCAAGCTTCAGTCAAGATGCATACTGGCTACTAAAAGTGGCACTCACCCTGCACAGCCTCTTCCACTGTCATCCCCATCATTTGAGCAAACTGGTCTCCACTGACAGAGGAGTACGCCTGGGCTACCAGGTTGAACACCCTTCGTCTAGTAGACTCTGTAATGATATGGTTAGAAGTTTGTTTTAAACACGATTAAACAAACTAAAAATAAATAAAACTAGATGCCAAAGACAGCACAAAAAAAAAAAAAAAAAAAAAA